TTTTTTTTTCTGGATTCTTCGACGCTGGCCCTCTGGTCATGTGGGAGAGTGTGTGTCTGACACTGTATGTGATTTTTTTTTTTTTTTTTTTTCTGTCCATGAATTTTTGAACTTAACGGGAAAAAACAAAAGTGTCGTGTTTTGAATTTATGATGATTATTTTTTGGCAAAATTGTAAAGTAAAATGTGTCCAGCTGTCGTGTTTTTTTTTTCTTTTTTCTTTTGACTTTATTATTTTTTAAGAAAAATGAAGAAGTGTGCAGCGGCGTTAAAAAAAATGTGTGCATCAAGCTTGGGAAACAGAATGTGTGCTGCTGCATAATAGTGTTTTTTATTTTATTATTTATTTGAGTAAATTGTCTTATTACCTAGGTTACCATAGCGGCCCGGGACCACTTGCCCGACCGGGCCCAAAAACAAAAAGAACAAAAAAAAACTAGTTTTTGATTTATTTTTTATTTTAAATTTTGTGAAAATTTTCGATGTAAGCCTAAGGCAAAAGTTGTTCAGTTTATTTTTCTGCATAGTTTTGTTTCGGAATTTTCGTTTTTTTTTTTTCTTTTTTTTTCTTTTTTTTTTTTGGGCTGGGAGCTTCCCTGGTCCTTGCACTGCCGGGCCGCCCGGAAAAATAAGGTGACCCGGGCGGCCCGGCTGGTAGCCTAGCTTATTACATTAAAAAAATGAACAAGTGTTATTTATTTGATTATTTATTTGATTAGAATGTCTTCTAAGTTATTACATGAAAAAAGGAATTTGATTATTTATTTGATTGGAATGTCTGTCCGGCGGCGTGGCAAACTAAAATGTGTGCGGCGTAGCACAACTAATGGTGTTAAAAAAAAAAAAAAACACTAAGTGTTTTGAGGGTTTTTACTATTTAGGTGGGCTGCTTGCTCATGCCCATCTGAATGAACTTGGACGGGTTGTTGTCTTTTGCTGAGGCGGTTGCTCGGTCTGCTGCAATTGTTTTTTTTTTAATGCATATATAATAAAGGGCTACGGCCTTGAGATGTCCGCATTGAGCTGACCGGCCTCAGGTATTTCATAATTATTTTATTTTATTCTGTTCATCTGACGGCAGCTGGATTCGAACGGTTCATTGGGAAAAGAGTGCGGCGGCGTAGCGTTTGAGCGCTCTTGCAAAAAACAAAAGTGTTTTGAATTTATTATTATTATTTTTGGCAAAATTGTAAAATGTGTCCAGCTGTCGTGTTTTTTCTTTTCTTTTTTAACTAGTAGCGTTAAAAAAAAAAACCACTAATAGTGTTTTTAGGGTGATTAGGTGGGCAAGGTGTGCAGCGTGAGGGGTAGCGTTTGAGCGCTCTTGCAAAAAACAAAAGTGTTTTGAATTTATTATTATTATTTTTGGCAAAATTGTAAAATGTGTCCAGCTGTCGTGTTTTTTCTTTTCTTTTTTAACTAGTAGCGTTAAAAAAAAAAACCACTAATAGTGTTTTTAGGGTGATTAGGTGGGCAAGGTGTGCAGCGTGAGGGGTAGCGTTTGAGCGCTCTTGCAAAAAACAAAAGTGTTTTGAATTTATTATTATTATTTTTGGCAAAATTGTAAAATGTGTCCAGCTGTCGTGTTTTTTCTTTTCTTTTTTAACTAGTAGCGTTAAAAAAAAAAACCACTAATAGTGTTTTTAGGGTGATTAGGTGGGCAAGGTGTGCAGCGTGAGGGGTAGCGTTTGAGCGCTCTTGCAAAAAACAAAAGTGTTTTGAATTTATTATTATTATTTTTGGCAAAATTGTAAAATGTGTCCAGCTGTCGTGTTTTTTCTTTTCTTTTTTAACTAGTAGCGTTAAAAAAAAAAACCACTAATAGTGTTTTTAGGGTGATTAGGTGGGCAAGGTGTGCAGCGTGAGGGGTAGCGTTTGAGCGCTCTTGCAAAAAACAAAAGTGTTTTGAATTTATTATTATTATTTTTGGCAAAATTGTAAAATGTGTCCAGCTGTCGTGTTTTTTCTTTTCTTTTTTAACTAGTAGCGTTAAAAAAAAAAACCACTAATAGTGTTTTTAGGGTGATTAGGTGGGCAAGGTGTGCAGCGTGAGGGGTAGCGTTTGAGCGCTCTTGCAAAAAACAAAAGTGTTTTGAATTTATTATTATTATTTTTGGCAAAATTGTAAAATGTGTCCAGCTGTCGTGTTTTTTCTTTTCTTTTTTAACTAGTAGCGTTAAAAAAAAAAACCACTAATAGTGTTTTTAGGGTGATTAGGTGGGCAAGGTGTGCAGCGTGAGGGGTAGCGTTTGAGCGCTCTTGCAAAAAACAAAAGTGTTTTGAATTTATTATTATTATTTTTGGCAAAATTGTAAAATGTGTCCAGCTGTCGTGTTTTTTCTTTTCTTTTTTAACTAGTAGCGTTAAAAAAAAAAACCACTAATAGTGTTTTTAGGGTGATTAGGTGGGCAAGGTGTGCAGCGTGAGGGGTAGCGTTTGAGCGCTCTTGCAAAAAACAAAAGTGTTTTGAATTTAT